AAATTTGGAGATACAAATAGAGACATGAGCGCCAACATCTGGAGACACAAACAGAGACATGGACATCAACATCTGGAGACACAAATAAAGACATGAGCATCAACATCTGGAGACACAAACAAAGACATGAGCATCAACATCTGGAGACATGAACAGAGATAAGAGCGTCAACATCTGGAGACACAAACAGAGACATGAGTGTCAACATCTGGAGACATGAACAGAGACGAGAGCATCAACATCTGTAGACACAATCAGAGATGAGAGCGTCAACATCTGGAAACACAAACAGAGACATGAGTGTCAACATCTTGAGACACAAACAGATACATGGGTGTCAACATCTGGAGACACAAACAGAGACATGGATGTCAACATCTGGAGACACAAACAGAGACATGGACGTCAACATCTGGAGACACAAACAGAGACAAGGATGTCAAATCTGGAGACACAAACAGAGAGATGGACATCAACATCTGGAGACACACACAGAGACATGAAGGTCAACATCTGGAGACAAAACAGAGACATAGACATCAACATCTGGAAACACAAACAGACATGAGCATCAGCAGCTGGAGACACAAACAAAGACATGAGTGTCAACATCTGGGCACAGAAACAGAGACATGAACATCTCAAGACAGAAACATCAACATCTGGAGACAGAAACAGAGACAGAAACATCTGGAGACAAAAACAGACACAGCGTCAACTTCTGGAGACACAAACAGACACATGAACGTCAGCATCTGGAGACAAACAAAGACATGGACATCAACATCTGGAGACAGAAACAGAGACATGAACATCAACATCTGGTGACACAAACAGAGATATGAAAGTCAACATCTGGAGACACAAACCAATACATGGACATCAACATCTGGAGACAAAAACAGGGACATGAATGTGAACATCTGGAGACAGAAACAGAGACATGAACATAAACATCTGGAGACAGAAATAGAGACATGAACATCAACATCTAGATACAAAAATAGAGACATGAACATCCACATCTGGAGACAGAGGAACCTACACATCTGGATCAGTCAGGTTTTCAGCTGTTTGTTTATGTTTTTGGTTTTAAATAAAGTTTTCTCACTCCAGATCCTGGTCTGTGGTTCTGGCAGGGCCACATGTTCTACTGTGCAGCTGTAGATGTCTCCCACATGAGGGATGAAGTCCAGACTGGAGATCTGCGTGAAGGAACCATCTTTGTTCCGATAAGGAACACTGATGCTGGTTCCTTCAGTCACGTTCTTTCCGTTCCTGGTCCAGTAGGCTTTGACAGGAGCAGGGTAGAACCCGGAGACATGGCAGATCAGAGTGTTCTTCTGTCCAGGTTCCACATCGTCTCTGGTGTAGACCATCACACGAGAAGGAGGATCTGTGGAAAACCATCATTCAGTTCATCTGTGTCTCAATAAGAAAGTGAAGTATCTGGTCTAACATGGCGACAGGTTCAACAGAAACCTGTTTGGGTTTGGATTTAAAGGATGTTTGCTGAGAAGAGTTCATGTTTTTTATCTTCTCACGGTTTAATTCTCAGAGGTCTAGAGGTCTTTAGTTCTCAGTTTTCTTTGTGGTCCTCTGACACACACTGACCTGAAATCAGAGG